AGGAAAGAGGGACGGAGAAGCTAGGGTATCTTCTGTGGCTCTCGTGGACTCCTGGAGCCATGATTGATTACAGACAATAGAAGCATACATCCTTATGACTCCGAAGCGACCTTTCTGGGGAACCTCTCATGGCTTTCAAGCAACCTTGCGGGCGGCATCTAGGAGACCCTCCTGGGGCTGTCATGGTCTCCTGGAGCCATCTCTGATTACCGAAAAAAAGAACACCGGAATCCGTGTGAAACTGAACCGAGACTTGTGGGAAACATCTTCTGACTCTCAAACGACCCTTCGGGCGGCAAACCACTATGGCACTCTTGGGTCTCGTTGTGAAAGGTAGAACTCCTTTTGGCACATTTCGGATCACTTTCGGCCATCTAGGGACCTCCTGGGGCAGTGGCTGGATCCACTGGGCGCCCTCTGGAACCCTCGGGTCTTCCAAAGCCTAGATTAGGACGCTCGAGTGTCCATGCGAGGTATCTCCAAAACGCCATCCACAGGTCCGAAACCTTTACGAGCAGTCTTCGACAGGAGAATTGCGAAGCACAGGGAGGCAACCGAAAACCAGAAGTACTGGACAGCTGGGTCTTGTTGGCGTTTTTGGCAGCAGTCCATCTGGGCAGTCGTGGCGCGCAGCTCCTCCTCCTCCTCCTCCTCCTCCTCCTCCTCCTCCTCCTCCTCCTCCTCCTCCTCCTCCTCCTCTGACGCGCCCCATGTGCGCTCAAATGGCTGTGGGCCTGCCCGCAGGGCCACCCTGGAGGACCCAGAAGTGCAGACCGGGGGCGGCCAAGGAGGGGGGCGTCCACGAGAGGGGGGGGGCGCAACTCATCGCCGGCGGCATGTGCGCGGCCCAGGGGGGGGGTGACCAGGAACGTCATGAAATCAAAAGGGGCGCCACGAAATCTGAGGAACTATCATGGCCCAGGCCATGGTATCCCTCCCCCCTAGTCATCACCCCCCCTCTTTGCCGCCCCCAAGCAGAGTGGAGCGATCCCAGGCCTTCATCGGCTTTCCCGGAGTCCTCGGGTTTCTCGTGGGATGCCTCTTAACGCTGTTCAGACCCCGAAACGGGAACATGCTAACAAGGCAAGATTGCCCCATACAATGGGGACGGCTTTTGTCGTGGGGGCCGCTTAGGCCGACTGGAATGCCCCCCCTTGGGGCCCTCATGGAGCTCTCTTGGGCCGTCTTGGGCGCCTCTTGGACCATCTTGGGGCTCTCCCGGGCCGCCCTGGGAACCTCTTGGGGGCCTCCTGGGCCGTCTAGGGGGGGATCTGTGGGGCCCCGTGGGCCGTCTTGGAAGCTGTTAAGACTCCAAAGGCGAAGATGTAAGTTGTCGCGCGGGAGCGGGGCAAGTTTGGGAGTTTGGGCCTTCTGGGGCCCTCTCGGGGTGCATCGTGGAGCCTTCTCGGGGCGTATTGCGTCATGGGCCTTCTTCAGTGGTGACATCGACGACGACGACGACGACGACGACGACGACGACGAGGACAGCGACGACGCAACGTCGACGACGACAACGAGGGAGAGGAGGAAGAAGTTCAGGGCCATGGTAGGGCAATATTCTGAAAACTTTTGGCGTGTTGGGAGCTCCTTGGGGCAACGCGAGCTTCCTAAGCCCCCCTTCGGACCTCCTCAGGCCCTCGTTCGCTGCCTTCTCCCCCTCGCTCCTCCTCCTCACTCCTCCTCCTCCTCCTCCTCCTCCTCCTCCTCCTCAAACCCACTCTATAACGAAAGAGGATGAGGCGAATTATGACAGATAAGAGGAGAGAAAGGGGGGGCGCTTCAGTGGATTATGGCCCACTGACTTATTCCAAAAGCTCTCGGGGCTTGGAAGTATTGAAAAAATGTCGGGGAAAGTGCACAATCTTCCTCCTTTCCTAAGTAACGGTCGTTATCTGCGGGGGAGGGTCGGGCGGGATGGTCACCGGAACGGCGCAGCCGCAGCGTGCACCCGCCAGGGTGCGTCCGCGCCGCCGGCGCATCAATCGCACCACAGCGCGTAGAGGGGGGTCAAGGCCCCAACCCTCAGTACGATCGGTAGCGTTGCGTGGGAGGGGAGAGGGGGGGTTGGTCCCAGTAAAAAAACGCTACCCTGGGGAACCAAAAGAACGCTCACAAAAGGGGTGGCACTTTGCTTTTAAGCGGGAAGACGCCCAGAGGCACGGGGGAGGAGGAGAAGGAGGGAAAAGAAGGAGGAAGAAAAGGAGGAGGAGGAAAGGAGGAGGGAAAGAAGGAGGAGGAGGAAAAGGAGGAGGCAGAGAACGAGGAGGAGGAGGGGGAGGGAGCGCGCCAAACTGCGCGCTCCAGCGAATTCGCCGATGCTCGAATTAGTCTGGCGCCCCCGGCCGCTCAGTGAGGCGCGGGGAAGGAGGAGGAGGAGGAGGAGGAGGAGGAGGAGGAGGAGGAGGAGGAGGAGGAGGAGGAGGGGGAGGAGGAGGAAGGAGGGGGGGGCACGAGGGCCAGGAAGCGAGGGCGGATGACGAGGACTACGAGGAGAAGGCGGGGAGGTTGGAGGGTGATGGAGAGAAAGAACCGGGGGAGTGCATGTGCCGGGGATCAGGGCGATGGAGGCATAGCTTCGATCAGAAGCAGCGGGCCGCCCTCAAGTGTCAGGGAGCAACCCGCTTACAAGTTCCAGGCAGTCAGTCCGTGAAAACAGATACCAATGCGCACGGCGCAGCGGCGCAAGCAGAGAATCAAGAAGGATCCAGGAGAGGGCAGGCGAGACGGGACGGTTGAGTCCACATTGGGTTCCCTGGAATGGAACACCAGAGAAACCTGCACGTACTCCTGGGTGGACCAGTTATCGGAACTGCCGGGGCTACGACCTGCACTCCTTGGGCGAAGCACTTGCCGTGCCAGCGCTTCCGACGCACGCAAACTCATTCAAAGTCCGTCTACAAAGGCGCGGCACACACACCGCCTGTACTCAATATTGCACAGGAGCTGGGGAGTGACGCTATAGCGTCCGATGCACCCACATGAATTCCTCAATGGAACAAGGCAATCGAAATAGGCTTGCAGCACACAATCAAACAAGGCAATCCTTCTTCCACCTCCTGCTGCTCCTCCTCCTCCTCCTCCCTCCTCCTCGTCCTTCATCCTCATCCTCGTCGTTCCTCATCCTCCAGCTCCTTCTCCTCCTCCTCCTCCTCCTCCATTCCGTTTCCTTCTACATAACTTCGCCCTGTCGCACGCAGAAGCTAGTTTGTAGGGCGGGCCGGGCGTTTCGTCTGAGACTTCCTCATCATCTATGGTGCTGGAGCTTAAACGCTCGCAACAATTTCACAGATGGGGGGCGGGTCGTTTTCAAAATGTGGCTCTCGCCTTGGCGCCGCGCCCATCCGTCCTAAAAATTGCAAGAGTTTCACATATTGAGGGCAGGTCGTTTTCAAAATGTGGCTCTCGCCTCAGCGCCGCGCACATTCGTTTCAAACATGTGTAAGAACTCCACGGATTGAGGGTGACCCGTTTTCCACACATGGCTGTCGCCTCAACGCCGCGTGCTGTCATTTAAAGCATGGCAAGAGCTTCAAGGGTTGAAGGCGGCTCGTTTTCAAAATGTGGCTTTCGCCTTCGTTTTTAACATTTGCAAGAGCTTCACGGATTCCGATGGTCAACGTACCAGAAATCGTGTCTTGGAAGATTTCAGGATTATGAGGGCGCACCGCTTACGTTGACTCGCGGCGTTGAAGTACCAAGAATGGCGTTCTGGCACAATTCCGGATCGTCAAGACGCAACAATCAGGTTGATCCGCGGCGTTGGAATCCCGAGATCAATGTTTTGACATGCTTCAGGGTCTTCAAGCGGTTGTCTCCCAACGAGGCAATTCCCTCTGTGGAAATAAACCGTTGCAGAAGCCTATGAAGAGGGAGCTTGGAGGGAAGGCTTTTCTCCAACATCGTTGATGACTCTTGGGTTTACACTGGTCATCCTCCTCCTCCTCCTCCAATTCCTCCTCCTGTTCCTCCTCCTCATCCTCCTCCTCCTCCTCCTCCTGCGGCGCTGCCAAGCCTTGCGTCCGCCCTCCCACCAAAGCCGGAGAGGTCGACCGAACGCTCTGGTGTCCCCGTCTCATCAGCAGGGGAAGGGAGAAACCCTCTGCCTGGCGGAAGCACGTGTGGCTCCGCTGCGTCCAGGGGGAAGGCTGGGAGCCAGAGCTAGAGCCGGAGAGGCTCCAGCGAAAAAAGTCACACAGTCCGGCGGCGAGCGAGGGAGAGTCGTTCGAAGGAGAAGGCCTTCTCAGAAGGCGGCGGGGCTCCTCAGAAGCCCTCGCGCCCTCTCAGAAGCTTCCAGCGTCTTCTGGGAAGGCTTCGAAGGCTCCTCAGAAGGCGGGGAGGGGGCCTCCCGAGCCCTCTGAGAGAAGGCCTCCTCCTTCGCGCGTGCCCCCCCGCGGCGCGCCGCCGAGCGCCGCGTGGCCTCGACGCCAGCAGGTGAAGCGCAAGGGAGGCCCGATGCTCTGCCCGAAAACCTGCCTCCGACGGCAGCCTGTGCTCGGGTTGCCCACACGCGCCCCAGGTGTGCCCAGACTGTCTTTACCGGCCTGGAACAGATCCCCATCCCTATGCTGGGCACCTCCTCATCACGATGCCAGTCTTAGGGATTCCCCTCCTTTTTTGAGGGCGAATCCCTAAGATTGTCATCGCCTTTTGGCGTGTCCATCTTAGGGATAGGGATGCGTTCGAGGCTGGTAGTGGTGGGTTCGGGACCGATGCGACGTGCAATCTCGCTTGCGCGCTCGGTCTCCCTGCGGCTCCGGCCACGCTTCTGGGGCGCGTCGCCTGCCACCGGCTCAGGGGCAGCGGGCCATGGAAAATGGGATGTTACCAGCCTCGAACGTATCTCTATCCCTAAGATGGACACGCCAAAAGGCGATGACAATCCTAGGGATCCGCCCTCAAAAATAAGGGAGTCCCTAAGATTGGCATCGTGATGAGGAGGTGCCCAGCATAGGGATGGGGATCTGTTCCAGCCTGGTAAGGATGGGCTGCGGGCGCAGGGCTCACCTGCGGAGGCACCGCCTCCGACAGCTCGCGGGCCCGAGGCCCTCAGCGCGGCGGCCGCCCCTGCGCCGGGGACCTCCTCTCCTCTGGCGACGGGATGCCGCCTGGCAGGTCGCTCCTGGGCACCGGCTCGTCGGCAGGCTGTGGCTCTTCCGCCGGCCTGGGGTCGGGTCGGGCGAAAAGGGGGGATTGTCAAGGGGGGCGTTGAGAATCACCTCACGTAGCTGGTTTTCCCGGCGCCTCCCGGCGCCGTTTTCCCGGCGCCTCCCGGCGCCGGATGCGGCTATGTATCAAGGAATGGGCCCCTCGGTGAGGCCGAACCCAGCTGCATGCAGCAGATTTCATAACCCCCCCTTTCCCAATGCCCCCCTCTCGCCCGGCCCGATAGGGGCAACAAAAAAATACCGATGCCGGGCCCCGGGCTTGTCCAGCACAAGCGACTGTCAAGGGGAGGCGCCAGCCCTGGGGACTGGGTCGAAACCCATCTCTGGCCGCGCTGGCGAGGGCCGTCCTCACAAGGGCAGCGGCATCCTCTGACATCCGCCGACCTGTTTTTTTACGCGCGGCCTGAGCCCGCTCCCCTGGGCAGTTTTCGTTGGCGAGTTGCTGCCGGCCTCCGAGGCCCGCGCACGGACCCCGGCGAAGGGGCTTCGCCGCGCGCGGGCGCAATCCCGCCTCCGAGGTTTAGGTCGGGCACGTCCTCCCGCAGCTTTTTGCCGTCGGCAGCACGGCGGGACAGTCCGCCCCAGCGTGGCAGCGATGCAGGGGCACTGCAAAGCGAATTGGCCGGCAGCGGGAGGGCGGAAAAAGGAAGGGCAGGGCGGCCGCGGGTGGGGGGAGAGGAGGGCGAGCACTCAGAGGCGGAAGGCTCCCGCCACGAGCAGCCGGAGCGGCCCGCGGGCGGCGGGGACGGGGTCCGGGGGGCAGGAGCGCCAGCCAGGCAGACCGCGTCAGTAGGCAAACACACGTCTTCCTACAGGCGGATTTCGGGAGAACAATCCAAGATGTAACAAGAGTCAAAACAAGCCGGCGCAATCGTCACCAGACTATCTGTTTCACTGTTACTGCATACGTGCATCTATATATATATAAAGAGAGAGAGAGAGAGAGAGAGAGGGACACGCCCGACTTACAGTGGAGAACCGACTACGAGAAACCTTCCCCAAGAAGCCCAACCAGGAGGCCCCAGGGCGTCCCTCGACTAGTAAAGGGCACGCCACGACTTCCACGGCTATAAACCATCGAAACCCACGAAACCCGGGGCACACTGTAGAAAAAGAGAAAACGCCATAAACATAAACTGTTGGGGCTCCGCGCAGATTTCTTGGATCTGCGCGGACCCCCCCACACTTCCCTGGCGCGCGGCGCGCGCCAGGGGCGGCGCCGGAGGCGCCGCCAGGGGGGCCGGGCGCGGATCCAAGAACTCCGCGCGGAGTGCCAAAAATTTATGTTTATGGCGTTTTCGCTTCTTCCAGAGGGTGCCCCGGGGCTTCGTGGGTTTCGAGGGCTTCTAGCCGCGGAGTGCGCGGCGCGCTTCCACACTACGAGTCGAGGGATGCCCCGGGGCCGCGGAGCCCTGGGGTTTCTCTGCTTCCTCGACCCAGAAGGCGAGCGGGGCGCTTCCGAGGCCCACTCGCCTTCCGGAGGGAGGAGGAGGAGGAGGAGGAGGAGGAGGAGGAAGAAAGGAGGAGGAGAGGAGGAGAGAGGAGGGGAGGAGGGAGGAGGAGGAAGGAGGAGGAGGAGGAGGAGGAGGAGGAGGAGAGGAGAAGGGGGAGGAGGAGGAGGATAGGAGGAGGAGGAGGAGGAGGAGGAGGAGGAGGAGGAGGACGAGGAAGGAGGAGGAGGCAGGAGGAGGGAGGAGGAGGGAGGAGGAGGGAGGAGGGAGGAGGATGGCGGCCCACCCACCTCCGCGAAGGGGCCTCCCGAGAGGCGGCCCGCGGCCTCCCCTCGATCCTCGGGTCCCCCCCCCACCGCCTCGGCGCTGCCTTGCCCTCGAGCGCTCGAGGGATCGTCGGAGGGCGATCTCGACCCTGCCCCGCCTCGATGCCCCTCCCGCCTCGGCCCTTCCACCTCGGCCCGGTCCCTTCGGGGAGGGGCAGGGGCCCCCTTCGGTTTTAAGCGTTGCCTGGTGACAGCGACCTCGGGCCCAGACCTGGCGGGTGCAGAGCCTGGGAAGTGGCGCCCGCTCGAGAAACGAAAACGGACAATTCACTGATCGACGTGTCAGGGTGGGTGTTCTGCCCACCCCCGATCCCTCCGAAGGAATCTCCTTCGGAGGCAACTGCTGGGAGGTCTTCGTCGGCAGTATTCGGAAGAATGAAGCCCCATTGAGGGGCTGTTACGTCGGGTGGGAGCGGGATGAAGCCGGATGAAGCCGGATGAAACGGGATCAAGCTGGACGAAGCCACATTTCGGACAAGGGCAAGGTCCGAATTTGACCTCCCAGGAGTTGCATCAGAAGCGAGGGGGGTAGTGAGAAGGAGAAGGACTGCTCAGAAGACGGCGGAGCTTCTCAGAAGGCCTCCGGCCTTCTGAAAGGCTTTCTGTGTCTTCAGGGGAGGCTCACAGAACTTCTCAGAAGGCTTGGGGACTTCCGAGCTCACTGAAAAGGCCCGCCCCTTCTCACGTCCTCCCTCGCTCGCTGCCGAATGCCAGCCGTCATCAGCCCCAACGTTGCACTGCGGTTGCCCGACGGAGCCCGAGTCGCGCAGCAGGTGTCGCTGGGGCCCAAAATCCAGCCACTTACCATAGTATGGGAAGCTTTACAAGCACCCCTGACCCTTTGGGAGGGGATCTAAGTCAGGAGGGCCAGAAGCATTAGGGTCGTTTTTGTTTCTGCGGACGTAGCAAACGAAGCCACCCATTTGCGTAGGGATATCTCCAAGAACCGATGACCTAAGTCAGGTCACGAATCCTGTTGGATGTTGAGGGTTTGGGATCGGTTCTGTATGGTGAAAACAGCTCCCTGGACAACGACGGCGTCTAAAACCGCTCCCCACTCCCCACGCGCGCTCTTACGCCGCTACTTGCGGCTGCCGTTGCCCGTGTCGACCTTCTTTTTTACAGAGAAAACAAGCCGGCACAATCGTCACCAGACTATCTGTTTCACTGTTTTTGCCTGCGTCTCTCTCTCTCTCTCGATCTCTCTCTCTCTCTATATATATATCGAGAGGGAGAGAGATCTGTAGAGGGACACGCCCAACTTACAATGGAGACCCGACCACAAGAAACCTTCCCCAAGAAGCCCAATCGGGAGGCCCCAGGGCGTCCCTCGACTAGTGGTCTGGGCACGCCACGACTTCCACAGCTACAAGCCATCGAAACCCACGAAACCCGGGGCACCCTGTAGAAAAACAAGACACGCCATAAACATAAACTGTTGGCGCTCCGCGCGGAGTTCTTGCATCTGCGCGCGCGGAGCACGCCAGTGGAAGCGCGGAGGAGCGGAGCGCGCCGGTGGAAGCGCCAGAGGCGCCTCCAGGGGGGCCCAGCGCTGATCCAAAAAATCCGCGCGCGGAGCGCCACAAATGTATGCTCATAGCGCTTCTTTTCGTCGACTACAGCCGGACCAAGGACAGAAGAACCTACTCGCTGCTCGGCCCTCCCCCGTCCACGATGAAGGGACCCAAGGACACACAAATACATAAACACAAATCCCAGGATTCCGTGCATTCGCCCTATGTTTTCTGGATCTTCGTCTTCCCCCCCACGTCCCACATTTTCCATGGGAATCGACGATTCATTATGTCTGTGTGTTTTTTCCCCTCCCGGCACGGCTCCACGACTGCTACCCCCTCGGAGCCTCCTCCTGATCAGCCTCCGCCTCCTCCGCCTCCTCCTCCTCCTCCTCCTCCTCCTCCCTCCTCCTCCCTCCTCCTCCGCCCTCCTCCTTCTTCTTCTCCTCCTCCTCCTCCTCCACCTCCTCCTTCTCCTCCTCCTTCTTCCTCCACCTCCTCCTCCTTCCTCTCCGCCTCCTCCTCCTCCTCCATCTCTCCTCCTCCTCCTCCTCCTCCTCCTCCTCCTCCCCTCCTCCTCCTCCTCCCTCCTCCCCCTCTGCTCCTCCTCCTGCTCCTCCCCTCCTCCTCCTCCTCCTCCTGCCTCCTCCCCATCCCCTCCTCCTCCTCCTCCGCTGCCTCCTCCTCCTCCTCCTCCTCCTCCTCCTATCCTTCCTCCTACGCTGCTCTCCTCCTCCTCCTCCTCCTCCTCCTCCTTCTCCTCCGCCTCGTCCTCCTCCTCCTCGTCCTCCTCCTCCTCCTCCTCCTCCTCTCCCCCGTGGGGTCGTGGAGTCGTGGGCGGGGGAGGGCCCAGGGTCGAGCAGGTCAATGCGGCTGCAACTCCTGGGAGGTCAGATTTGGATTGTGTCCTGGTCCGAAATCTGGCTTGATCCAGCTGGATCCCGCTTGATCCAGCGTTGTGGGAGTCGTGTAGTCGTGAAGTCGTGTGATGGGCCTGTTTTCCACCACGCAGAGCCCATGCTCGCCCGTCACACGACGCCACGACCTCCCCCCCGCAGAGCCCATGCTCGCCCGGCCGAGCGCCTGTCCCGGCTTGCGGCCCGCGGCCGCCCGCTGCCGCTCGCCGGGGGCCCCTCGGCCTGCCGGGGGGGAGGGGCCAGCCGCGGGGCGAGCAGTGGGAGGCCTGGAAGTGGGCTCCAAGACCAACCCAGACATGATCGCAAGCAAGCAAGCAAATGCTGAGTACGAAACGCACATGAGCACATGGCCACTATCGCGTGGCATCGCAATACTTGGACTGCGACACGCCACGCCGTGGCCGAACAAATAGTGTCCTGCCAAAGCGCTGGAAGGGCCTCCACACCCCCAGCTGCTTCCAGGGAAGCCGTCCTGAAAAAATCAGGACATCGTATGTCTGGGAACACATGGGGTTGCCTCCACGAGGGGAAAAAAGTCCTCGATTTCGGTGTTGGTGGCACTAGTTCGGCCGCCGTGGAGACAGAATCTTACCACCATCACCGAGATCGGGATCGTCTTGCCTCGGTGGAGGCACACCGCCGATGTTGGTGTTGGTGTCAACCTCTAGGCCTGCGAAACAGGTGGAGTCACAGTGGACCCAGACAGCTGGCTGCTGCAATTTTTGTTGTCGATGCGTGGGCCCCGGACCGAGCAGTCGCTTTGGGTGGAGGACAGAAGGCGAGACTTGAAGTGCCGCTTCGACTGATTTTTTCGAGGTTGGAACCTGCAAAAGGTGAATCACAAGACGGATTGAACTTCGAGGTGCAAGAGCCCCTCTGGATGTCACTCTGAGCCCTCCAGTCTAAGGAAATGCTCAGCTGGAAGTTTTGTTTTGTTGGCATCACATGCACCCTCGCACAGCCCGCCAGGCCCATCACAAAAACCCTGAACCCTGGTCCCGCGCTGTTAAGGCAAATGCGTGTGTCACGGAATCGGTGCGGGAGCAGTTGCACCAGGAGGGAAATTGAAACGCCTTATGCCAATAAGACGAAACGTCGGGAGCGAAATGCTCAGCTGGAAGTCTGGACCACTTCGCCAGGACCGGTGTTTCGTCCCGAGTTGTTTTTTTGACGGTCCCGAGACACAGCGGGGGGGCCCCTGGAGGCCGAAAACAGCCCAACACCGCCCGCTCCAATTTTTTGGTAGTAGAGGGGGGGAGGAAGGGGGAATCATGGGGATCATGGGGAAGGTGATGGGGATGATGGGGAAATGATGGGGATAATGGGGAAGGGGATGATGGTGCTGGTGATGGGGACATGATTGGGATGATGGGGAAATGATGGAGGTGACGGGGGAGGTGATGGGGATGATGGGGAAGGTGATGGGATGCAAGGCGATGGGGATAATGGGCAACGGTGAAAACGGAAGGAAAAGGGTAGGCCACTGCCAGCCTGCCGGCGGGGGGCGGCTCGGGGAGGAAACATCGACCTGCCCTGAAATCCCGATGCCTCCATTCTGTCGCTACTTGCGGCCCCTCGGGCCATGAGAAAATCACGACGGGAGCTGTTTCGCTAGGTTTGGCCTCTGGGGGCCTTTACAGGACCTCGAGAACGTCAATCGGGTCGGGCGGAAGGGGGGGATAGCAAAGGGGGGGTTTGAGAATCAGCTCACGTAGCTGATTTTCCCGGCGCCTCCCGGCGCCTGAGGCGGCTATGTATCGAGGAATGGGCCCCTCGGTGAGGCCGAAACCAGCTGCACGCAGCAAATCTCGTAACCCCCCCTTTCCCAATCCCCCCCTTTCGCCCGGCCCGATAGAGGCAATCCCCCCCTTCCGTCCGGCCCGAATCAAATCATCACTCAGGATGAGAAGTCGGTCGGGAAAAACACACTGTGGGGAACAAAAACACACTGTGGGGAAAAACACACACACACACTGTGGGGAACAAAACACACGGTGGGGCAAAACACACACTGTGGGGAAAACAGACACACACAGTGGGGGAAAACAACACACTGTGCGTTTTTTTGCCCACAGACTGTGTGTCGTTTTTGTGTTTTCGTTCCCCTCTGTGTTTTTTTCCTCCACAGACTGTGTTTTTTCCCCCACAGAAAAAGGTCGAGACCTCTGGGGTTCGACATCAGAAGGGCCTATATCCCGGAGACCTTCGCGTCTCAACTCTTTCGAGCCGGGCGTTGTTTTTTCCCCTCGTTAGGGCCCTGGGGCCCTCACACTGAAGGGGCCCTGGGACACACAAATAAATACTCACAAATAAAGAATTCCCAATATTTTCCCATATTTGGGGGGAATCGACGATTAATAGTGTCTGTGTATGTTTTCCCCCTCCTGACACGCATCGATCCGGCTCGAGAAATGGTGCAGAAAGATGGGCCCAGGGCTCCGGGCGTGCTTCTCTAGGACTCTATATTTTTGGGCGACGTCAGATCTCAGGGTGGAATCGGCGATTCAGTCAAGCTGCTGACATCAGGAACGCCCAACAAGGAACATTGTCACTTTTTGGCACCCGGAGCGCCTGCGTGCACGAGGGGGGCCAGGGAAACAACCACGGAAGGACCTATGGAACAGAGAGCCCCTTCCGAACCCAAAGCGATCCTTCTGTCAGCGTCTTGACTGTAAGAAGAGCACAGAATCGAATCGAGAAGCCAGATGGGCGATAGAAGTGGATCGGATCGGCGAAAATCGGCAACCAGGTCGGGAGAAGTCGAATCGGCGAAATCCGGACAGCCAATAAGCCTCAACCGTGAAGATGATCGGAATCCAAATTGGAGTCCGAAGTCAAATCGAATCGAATCGGAATCGGAGTCTATCGAAACCGCATCGGATGGACTCGGCGGAATCGAAATGAACCCTGACGATACGTCGCCGACCCAGATCTCCGAGGACACGTTTTCCTCCATACCTGCGTCTTCCTCGGTTCCGGCCTCCGGGGCCAGTCTTCCGGCCCCGAGGTCAAAGAGAATGGGCGCGGGGCGAAGGACTCGCCCCGGGGAGCGGGTCGGGGCCCCGTCGAGCCGCAGGTCGAACAAGAACGGATCGGCGGATGCCAGCTGGACGGATCCGCGAGAGGCCCCCGCTGGCACAGCCGCGCGCTGCCGGGGCAGGGCGGCATCGGGGCCCCGTCGGCGACGACTGGGCGATTTGGCGGCGCGCACAAGGGGGTGGAGGGAGGGGGGAGGGCTTCTTAGAAGGAGGCTGCTTCTTAGAAGGCACCATTCTTGCATCTGTAGGTAAGGCCCGCGCCTTCCAAAAAGCAGGGGTGCTTCTGAGACGCCATCCCCCCTCCCCCCACCCCCCTCTGCGCGTGGCTGAACGATGGTGGGCCGATGCGTCCGTCCCCCCTCCGTGAGCCCACCCCCCTGACGTTGCCCCTGACCTGCGCCGACTGCTGCAGCAACGAGCGCGCCGCCTCCACCGGCGAGAGCGCCAGCAACTGCCCGACCTCGGTGGCAGCGGGAGCCTCCCGTGTTGGCCCATGTGGTGCGAAACGAACCGGCGCTGACCCACGCCAGTCGCACTACAGTCGGGGCGCTGACCTAAGGAACCTTAAATAAGGAACGAGGCCTCATTTTTTCCATAAGTTAACCTTCGACTTCCTGTCGAAAACATAAGGAAAGCCTGAGGCAAGCTGTGAAACACTCAAGGAACGCGGAGCCCCTCCCCAACGAAAAGGGTTCCTTCTTCAGGGCCCCGACTGTACGTCGACGATAAGCCGGCGGCTCCATCTCTTCGGCTATCATGAGCTAGCGCACGCGAATGCAACTCAAAACTGAAGTTCGAGGGCGCTCAAGGCTCCCATGAATTGCTGTCGACTGTCTGCCAGACCACCCCCACCCAACCCGCAGTCCCAAAAATCAAGTTGGGGGGCGAATGGTTTCATGTGTGTGTTCAATGTTCCTGGATGCCCTCCCAGTGGGAATGGATGGCAACCTGAGGCCTTCGGGTTAATTTGGGGTGCTTTTTTGGCGGCGCGCACAAGGGGGTAGAGGGAAGGGGAAGGCTTCTTAGAAGGAGGCTGCCTCTTAGAAGGCGCCGGCCACCCTTCTAATAAGCCAGGTGTGCGCCGATTCTTAGAAGCACCCCAGCAACTTCTCAGAAGCACTGAATAATCTCTCGAAAGCACAAACAGCTGCCTGGAAACAGGCTGCCCGTTCTCCAAAAGCACGCCAGGAACAGCTCCTGAGAAGCAGCCGCCGGCTTCTCTGAAGGGCGCCCGCGTCTTCTAAGAAGGAACGTCTGTCTAAGAAACTTTCCCAGACATGCGACGTCCTCATTTTTTCAGGACGGCGTGCCCGGAAGTCCAGACCCTTTCCCCGGGGCCAGGTTTTCCATC